GATAAAAATGATTTGATAAGATTTATTGGAATTAATTTTAATACTCCAGTTATGACAGCATTCTTCAAGACTTGTGATGTGTGATTAAACAGTTTGGGATGGAATTGATGGATCTTTATTAATTGATAGGATACATGTGTCATCGGCACACGTGGTGATGACAGTCTTAGTATTGGTTGGGATATCAACCAGCAGTAATTTAGAACTTATTATAGTTTATTGAGAATATTGAGAAATATAATTAAAAACTAAAATAAAAAAAAGTAAAGTATTTTTTTATTTATTTTTAAATTATCAATATATAAAGTAATGCAGAGCAAATTTAACTTTCCAAAACCTCCTTAATTTATAAAGTCTGAGACCAAAACATATATTTTTTAATACGCGATCGTAATGATTCTGTTAATTTTTTTTTATTTCGTTTTTATTTCTTTTACCGATAAAGAAAAAAATACTAACCAAAAAGTTATTATTATTACATATATTTCATTTAAAAAAAATCGTAAAAAAAATGAGGCTTTGCACTTTACAAAATATCAGTAACTACCTACAAAAAAAAACAAACAGAAAAAACATACGCCCCAGAATAAAATTTAAAAAAAAAATTAAAAACACATTAAACTATTTTCTCCATCTTTAGATAACCATCTGCTGTCTTTAAATATCCTTTTAAATTTAAAAGTTTTTAGTGGAAATAATCATGAAAGGTTTGTGTGTTTTGGCTTGCCTAATAAAATAGTGTTGAATTTACCTAGAAGGATATAAATTTGTACTGAAACGATTCAGGAGTTTTAGAAAGAAGACATTAAATATTCTCTTAGCATTTATATATTTTTGAATTTTCTCATTGGTTTCATATAATCATTAACTGTAACTACGAAAGAATATAAATTAGCATAAGCAAAAATTGATCTAAGGCTTCTGTTAAATTTAATTAAAAATTAACCGCTAGTTAAATTTGTGTGTATGTATATATAATAGGATATATTATATTTATATACTATTTTATATTATATATTATATAATACATAATATTTTTTTTTCTTACCCTCCAAAAAGTTTATTGAAACAATTACATATATAGTATACAATAATACAATATAAACATGTAATAAATTCCTTCCACTGCCCGAGGGCATTTTAAGGATGAAATACATAATATGGCATAGTATATTTATATATTATTTATTGCGCAATTTTATTAAACGAGTTCCCAATCGCTAATGGAGTACAGTAACCTCGATTTTTTTATGATTAAACTTAATTAATTAACTTTATACCAATTATTTCGTTGCAAAATATTTTAGTATATTAACGTTTTTTATAATTTTTTTTATTATATTTTTAAATGTATCCCATCCTGCATTATGTCCAATCCGTGCTATATTATTGCTAATTAAGTTTAAATCATAAAATGTGAACCATTAGAGGGATAATAAAATAAGCTCCCTGGAAAAGCATATCATTAAATGTCGAGAGAGAAGGGGTAAATACTCGTACATAGCCGCTACCGGGCGGAGGGGACGCATTTGCATATTAATACGCACGCTTCGCCGAGTTTCGTGAAAGTTGTCTCCGGAAAATTGTATTTTTAAATTTCTACATCTCTCCTCTTCTATTGCTAAAAACACGAGAAACTCTATTTTCCCGTTGTGTTATTACAGAGGAAAATTAACATAGAAATCCCAGCAATTCAGAAACAAAATAATAAAAAAAACGAAGTACCGATGAAATCTCTACAGGCTACATAAAGTGTTCACTATAAAGAAGACAAAGCATTAAAAAATTACTTTTTCAAAAGAAGAGTGTTTAATCATTTAGTTCTTGCTAAGATTTCTTGGAAACTTTAATTTATTATATATATATATATATATATATATATATAAATAGAAATAGTAAATAAACTTTATTCTGGGACGATGTCTCCTTAGAATAACAATAATGAACAGTGAATAATGAAAAGAAAAACTTAATAAAGATTCAAATAATAAATACAACAACTTAAATAATCGTATGTTTTTAGTAAATTACTAAAAAATAAATTAAAATCTTCTCAACGAAAAAATGACAAAAATTGAAAAGAGAATTACATGTATAGAAAGAAAAAGAAAAATCTTTATAAAAGAAAAAAATATCAAAATTACTTAAATAAAAAAGATTGACTTATGTTCAAACCCAAAAATATATTGCATATAAAATATGTTACATGTAGTATGTTGCATATTAAAGATATATTAATGACAGAAGATGAGCAACGGAATCACAACAGAAAAAAAAACTGATTTAAAGAAATTAAATTGTTTATATATGTTATACAATACTCAATGGTATTGTAAACTATGAAAAAACACTTAGATCAAGATAGAAAAAGATGTAAGAAATGAAATACGTCTAAAATATATACAATCTTGAAGATGGAAAAAAGAAGATTGGATAAAAACAACAAACAATCACTTATTTTTTATGCATCACCTCACAGTGCTATGCTAATTGATATATATATATATATATATATATATATATATATATAATATATATATATATATATATATATATATATATATATATATATATATATATGGATATACATATATAACATTATCAATAAAAAAAAACTATAGCTTTTGCTTCCTCACTATCGATTTAAGGGAACCTTTTTATTCATGTGGAGGATTGAAGAAATGTTTGTGCTCAGAATTTAAAAAATTCTACTCGGGTTTTGGGTATCAAGAAACAAAATTAGTCATCTGTCTTTGAGCAACTGAACCCATGCGACGGAAATATCACCAACTTACGTTACTCCAATTTTGATGACATTTTCAGGGATTATGCGAGTTAGCATCTTTATGGTCTCTATCATGAAATTATAATTGATACCTCATCTTCCTGATGAGAAAAAGTATTACAGCACGCCTATACAGGGTTTGCCGTAAGTAGAGATAAATATTTAAAAGATCGATAGAGGACATCAATATCTACAAAAAAGTTCGTATAAACAATTGACCGATTTTCAGCCGAAAAATAGAAAATTTTAGATTTTTGTTTTTTCAAAACAAGTCACGTAGTTTGTTGAATAGAAACCAATAATTAAAAACATTTTTGATTTAGATAAATAAACATTGCTCCATAGTAAACTAGATAAAATCTCCATGAAAAGAAAGTAGATTCTGTCATTTTTAAAACCATTTAAAGAGAACTATTGAGCAGAAAAACTCAGCTATATATGTTCAGCTTAAAAAAAGTCATAAATTATTTGTGATATTGTTTTATCACTCTTCAACTGTACTACACTTACCCCACTTTTAGAAAACTTGTCTCGTTTAGTGACGTTTAAGTCCATATTAATCAATTGAGGAAAAATTTGGAGATTCACCTCAAGTTGTGTTAAGATATGATGTGATTTTCTATTCAGTAACCTTAAAGTACCCGTGTTTTCACTGTAAGTAAATGTTGCAAAGCTTAAGTATTTCGTGTTTTTCCAAGATATGGATTGTAAATAATTGCCTAAAAACACACTTTATTCATAGAAATAAATAAATTAAAATAATGACTGTTCAAATATTTTGCTTGGAAAGTGGGTTATAAAACTTGTATTTTTCTCCCAGATCTCCGTCATAGGGTTAAGTGACAAACTTAATGTTTCTTTCTAAAATTTACATTTAAAATAAAGAAACTTGCTGATTGTTTCAATTATTTTCATTAAAACGTAAATATTAGGTCTAGAAACATTAAGTTTGTCACTTATAAATATGGATAAATTCATATGACAGAAATCTGGGAAAAAAACAACAAAATTTCATAACCTCCTTACATGAAAAATATTTGAAAATCATTTAAAAATAAAATGTGTTTTTAGGCAGTTACGTTTATTAAAATATATCACATGTAACGGAAAAACAAGAAATAAAAGGTTTGCAACAATTTATTTGTAGTAATTTTTTATGAAAACAGGGATACCTTTAAGTGTCTGGATTGAAAATCACCTCATTACTTAAATTCCTATTAAACAAATAATGTGACTTGCTTAAAAAAAAAAACTCACACATTTAAAATTTCCTACTTTTCTACTCCAAAATGGGCAATTGTTTATATGTACTTTTTTGTAGATCTTAATGCCTTGGCAATGGCCAGATTCTCCACTCAAGACATGAGTTTATGTGGTTAAAGCGCTCTCGCTCAAACTCCACTGGCTTTAGCACCAGTGGCGAATGTGTTCATTTATCACTATAATTATTGTCCACGAGACAGGATATTATATGTCTAAATAAATAAAAATAAAAAAAAAGGTCAACGAATTACCGTTTTAATATTTTCCTCTACTTAAAGGACATCTTATATATCAAAATTGGCTCTTTCGACTACAAATATAGCGCTTATGATGTATGTGTTTGGAGTTAGCTATAGACTGGAGGTATGTGGTACACCTAACCTCACATTTTTACGGACCATGGTCTCTATAGTTCTACCACATTCTACTCATAGCTCTTTTTCCGAACACTTTGGGGTTCTACAATGTTCTTTTTACCTGCTTACTCGTGTTCAAGGGTAATGTTAAATCAGTCTAGATAGGTTATGGTTGCCCAGAATCAGTATCCGCACGAAAACTTACATTTGTTTCTCTGAAATAGACCGAATAGATGTGGTAACTGACCTGGGAAACCGCATTGCAATTCACAATTAAAGTACACGGAAAAGTATCTTGTTGGTGCCAGGTTGTTGTAAGTTGCCTCCAGTAGTCCAACGAAGCTCACATGCCTCAGGGGATCTGGTGCAGCTTCGTTTTTCCAGTGAACTGCCACCATTCAAGAACCTACCGTTGCTCGAGAATGGTTGTTTGATTTTGACTTTATAAATTACAAGCGCCTTAGCTCGCTTGGCCATCCGGTCTACTTCCTTAAATAAATATCTATTATAAAGTATTTATTATTTAGTATATAATAAAGATAATTTTAATTACATGATTAATATATATATATATATATATATATTTTTTTTTGCAGACTGACGTTAGCGAGTTGTGCGGCTCGGCAGTTAGCTTGGCCCAGCAGCTGACCCACATCGAGCTGGAGCGGCTGTCCTACATCGGCCCGGAGGAGTTCGTCCAGGCCTTCGCCAAGGAGAGTCCTGCGCTGGAGACGTCCTTCAAGGACATGAAGCAGACGCGGAACCTCGAATCCTATGTTTCCTGGTTCAACAGGCTAAGCTATTTCGTAGCGACCGAAGTCTGCAAGGTTGGTCTCAGTTTTGTGTGCTATATATTATTATATTGCTAACAATAAAACTTTTCCTTCTGTATTTGGGTCTCAGAATGATATACAACATACTGGTTCCTCTAACTCCGCTTAAGTATGCTTTTATGAAACTCAACGGAAAAGGACTCTCTCCTTTATTCGCTCTTTGCTCAATCCATACTTTAACGTGTTTTAATGTTTAAGAAAAGATGAAATAGCAAATTGGCTAAAAGGAAATTTTCTTTAAAAGAAGAATCCGTCTATCCCATTGGCTTTATTTTAAATGTCCACTTTTAAAGCGAACTTACATTATAGGAATCATTTTTTTTTTTAAACCATCAATTTTAAAGTTAAATTTGGATGATCGGCCATACTTGGTGTGAATATCATGTAGACCCATCGAATAAATCTTGATCTTGGTAAGCTATAGATAATCCTACGGGTGTTTATAAGCGTTATATCCTTTTTAGGGCATATGAGGGCTCTAAAGCCAATAAATCTTGATAGACTCTGTATTTTCGTAGGTTCAAAAATCCTAATATTAAAACCATCATTTATATATAAAACGAAAGGAAGAAAATAGAAAATATTAGTAATGAAATATTTCCATACAATCTCTTTTAGTTTATAATTGGAAAATTCCAACCCCACCTACATGTGTCTTTGAAATGAAGTTAATGAATAAAATGACCCGTTAACGTTTAGCCAAATAAGGCATCATCTGTTGGGAAAAAAAGAAACTAAATATCACATCGCCACATGACATCCAGTCGCATACTAGAAGAGAGGTAAGGTGTAACATAGCTGAGAAGGTTATAATTAAACAGCTGATCAGACAAAAAAAAAACATTAACTACAAACATTGCAGGTTTGATATTAATTAATAGGAGTACAAAATTTGCATAACCAGTTATTATTTTTAGTCATTTAATATCATATTCTTTAAAAATTCTTCCTGATTGTTTCAAAAGAACCTAGTTAATATTTTATTCATTATTGTTAATAAAAATGAATGAGTAAATTTAATTAAGCTGTTATAATTGATCTGTTTGAATGTTTCTTCTCTTGAAGATGCACTAAGTGCGGATACGTTCGAGTAGAGAAACAAAGTAAATCTGTTGTGATCATCATAATAAAAAAAAAAAGATTTAGACATCTCATGAAGATGTGCCGACTGTGAGAGCTTCTACTCTCTAATGTTATCCAAAGTTACTTCGGTAATTAACAAATTAATTATTGATAAGTTCTTCATATTTAGATTAGCAATTAACAGAATTAACAGGGCTGACTGTTAGCACGGAACATGATTTGCTTGATTCGGCCTGCTATCGACAGTTACATTAAACTTCATCGCTTTGTTGTCGAGTGGAGTTAAATTTGTTGGGCCAACTCTATTAACTCTTGGCCAATAGAAAAGCGGTACAGTAGTGCCTCCTGCTTCAGCTCAACAATCTGTTCTTTTTGGCAAGATTTAAATTTTACCTAATTTGTATTGAAAGAAGGAGATGGTCCGGGGTTGCGGTCATAAATAGGCGAAATAGTGGTAAAACTATTTTATTGTATAAAGCTAACGTTTCGACCCGACTTTGCAGGTCTTCTTCAGGGCTAGAACGGACAAGATACAAAAAGATAGAGAATTGTGGCAGTTTCATGATATTTAGACAAAATTTATATTTTTGTCATATTTTTTTTTTATTTATTGATGATATTTACAACTGTATTACAAATAAAAATACATTCAGTAAATGTGAACAAAAGAATATGATAACATGAATTCACTTGATGAGAAACTACCCACTGGTAGCACTCTAAAAATGTATTAACAAAAGGAGATCTGGAGGCCTTCTTCTTTTCAGACGCCTCGGTTTGTCATATTAAAATTAAAATTCATATTTTAATGTACTTACTGTTTATAATTTTAATAAGCTTCTACACATTGTTTATAAATTTTGTCTAAATATCATGTAACTGCAACAATTCTCTATCTTTTTATATCTTGTCCCTTCTAGCCCTGAAGAAGACCTGCTATGTCGGGTCGAAACGTCAGCTTTCAATAAAATAGTTTTACCACTATTTAGCCTATTTATGACCGCCACCCCGGACCATCTCCTTCCTTTATAATGCAACGGTCAACTATTAAATTTTCATTAATTTGTATTAGTTTGAAACAAACGTTTTGTCTGATGGTCAGTACTTAAGATTTGGATTATCGGCATAATTCTTTTCATTCTTTCCATTTTTCCGTTTTGCAGTAGCTTGCAGTGAGTGCGTATATTTCTACGAGTAAGAACTTACATCATAACGCATAACAAGCGTATAGTAACATTACTAAATATACATAATAAGAAATAAATAAAATTATAACGAATTAAAGAAAAATAAATAAATAGTATTCATTGAACTTCATTATTTATTTTAACTGTTTAAATATTTGTGCCTTGGCTTTAGCAATAGATTGAAGTTGGTCTTATTTCCACAATGTCTTCAGGTCATTTTATCTCACAGATTTACTGAATAGCTGAAAGATCCACTTAAAAAAACTTCACACTTTCCAATCAAAACTATTACGACTCATGACTAAAGTACCTTGGTACAGGAGTGCCCATCGAATGTGTTAAGGAGGGGAGGGCCACATTTTGACGGAGTTACGAATTTTCGTGGGGCTCATATCGACTGTGTTATGATTTTTCGAAATGAAAAGTTTCAAATCAGGGAACAAGAGAATAGAACAAACAAAGTATGATTGTATATGATTTATAATTTTTAAAATTATACTTTAGCTTGCACTGATTTTAAGAAGATTAGAGCAATAAAATATCTTTTGGAGGATGGGGGAGGTTTGTGCGGCATTGATCATGTGAGGTATGGCACCCCTCAGACTTCGTACGTGACTAACAAAATCTTCTACCTGACTACTTCCATCTGCCTAAAGTTGACCAAAACATAAGAACTCTTTACAAACGATTTCATACTAATTTACGCGAACATACTAACGTACTAAGATATATAGCGGTAATATAAATTATAATATAATATATAAAATAATATAACCAAAGTATAATATAATATATAAAAATAATATAAGATATATACGTAATAATATATATAGCTTCAGCTGACATGCTCATCAATACGAGGAGGAGAATAAAAAGGAGCTATATGAGAGGCCTCCTATGTAATAACATGGTAATTGTGTCGTAACATAATATTGTCATAACATAGTATTGTTGTCATAACATAATATTGTGTCATAACATGGTAATTGAATATATCCAGGGAAAGGTAATGCTGGGTGCTATTCTTCCCCATATCTGAATTGTCAGTTGTATTACTTTCATCAATCAATCTGCTGATTGTCGGCACTTCGTCAACAAGGGAAAGTGGGGTGGCCGAGCGGAATAACGCGAGTGCACAGCACCTTTATGTTTATAATATATAATATTATTACTTTAGTATTTTTACTGAGGTACTGTATATATTCTTTAATATTGATAATGGTGTGAATGTGCTCTCAGAACTTCTTTTATAAATGTCCTTTATTGAGACAGATTGTAATATTTATCAATAAACAAATAAATAATAATAAAAAAAATATTGATTAATGTAATTTTTGGCCAGATGTAGTTTTTCTTTTTTTGTTCATAACTGTTATTCATAAGGAACCTCGTCCCAGAATAAAGTTTACTTTCTATCTATCTATAATATTTACGAGTTCGTGTCCCGGTGTGGCGACAGACTTTTAACTCTGGTTTTAATTCTCCGCTCTCATCTCTTGAAAATGAAGGGGAGGAACAACAAAGAATTCGTCGACAGCTGCAGATAAATTTTTGAATATATAAAAAAAATAATATAATTTTTGTAGAAGTAATTATATTATCTTTAATCATTGTATTTTTATAAATGTGCTTCTTAAAAGGGAAATTTCTTTTCTGTCCACGCAGCACTTGAAGAGTAAGAAGCAGAGGGTGCGAGTGGTGGAGTTCTGGGTGGAGACGGCACGAGAGTGCTTCAACATCGGCAACTTCAACTCCCTCATGGCTATCATAGCCGGCCTCAACATGTCTCCCATCTCGAGGCTGAAAAGGACGGTAAGTGTACAACTTCTTGTATTAATTTATATAATATAACATTTAGTTTCCTGTTTTACTTTCATACTTCGAAAAAATCAGAAAAAAGATTGTATTCGGGTCAAATTATCTATTTGAAATTTAAAATTAATGAACCTACCACCATAAATCTTGGAATAACCTTTGATCAGAACCTCTCCTGGAATAATCATATCTTACAGATTACCCGAAAATCCATAACTGTCATTAACTCCTAAGATTTCGTGATTATATTTCTTAATATAGACAGCTCCTTTTATTTTCTCTTGTTTTCCCTCCACTTCGACTATGGTTACTTGCTATATGGAGGGCTTTCTACAAGACTAGATAAGACTGAAGAGACTCATGGATTGCTTCATAAGATTCATCTTTGGGGTTCCCCCGTTTCCTGCTACACTGAGTTGGAACTGGCTCCCTCCTACTTTCCGACGACGATTCCTTCTTGGTGTTTTCCTTTTTCTAGTCCTCGGAACCAAAAATCCTCCCCATATTCTAGAACATCTTACGCTAACCTCTATACACTCACTTAATAAGCGATCTCAAGCTATAAATCTGTATGTGGGGACATATACTATAAAGCCACTTCCTATCTCCTTACGTCAAACCATGTCCACAAATTTCTTCAAAACTACTCGTATTCCTCCATCTACTCCACATTTAAAATTCCGTAACCATGGAAGAATTTTATATAATGTAATTATAATTGCTTACTAACAATAAATTGATAAGAGCCGTTTTATTGTTATTTATTTTTTTTGCATTTTTGTATATTTGTAAGATTTATACGTGTCAGACTGATATAAATCTTCCTTGGATTATGTTAATATTCTTACGAGATTTTAGTCCCAGTAAAAAATTATTTTTCTTTTCATTTCATTTCATTAATCCATGCTTTTGAAGACTTTCTGAATCAAGAAAAATATTTTTCAAGAATCTTTTGACACTGAAATTACCTGTATCTGTCCTTCGAAGTCTTGGACGAATAGATCGATTTAGTTGCTTCTTTTTTTGTTATGTAACGATTCTGTTGTCGGTGGTAGTAAACTAAATTGGGCTTCACAGTAGCGGTTGAGTGATGAAAAATTATTAATACGAAAGCCGATGCAGAAAAACCTGACTTTTTTGCAAAATGTTTTACATTTTTCGAATTATCTAACCCTTAAATAACAACTAAAAAATAAACGCCTGCCATCATCACTACGATAGAGTACAAAATCATGGTGCATCACAAATGAAATTTTAAAACATTTTTAGTAGTTGATTTACTACTCATAAATTGTGTGCTTCTTTGCGAAAACCTTTTTATTTTAAGAATTTAAGAACATAACGCTGTATTGAATCAGTGATTTGCATTGTGATTCTGGTCCAGAATTACGAACTTGACAATCCTGATACATGAAAATATTGACCAACTTAGTCTTGATCTCTAAGTGAATTTGGTAATTCTAACTTACATCAGGCAATACATTTATAAACTTCTGTATTTAGTTCAGATATTTATTGAATACAATAAACATAATTTTTGGAGATGTCTTGTTTTGATCGCATATGTTATTTGGCAAACGTCTATCTTTGTTGTTTATATGTCATCTAGTATATGATGATAAAATATTGATTTAGTTTCAAATAAGTTAGTGTTTTCAAAATTACTATAGGATCAAAGCTGAGTTGGTGAACATTTTTAGAATTCGACGAAAGGCTTCGAACATCATAATTCTGGATCGAACGTATAATTTTAGGTACTCATTCAACATAAAATTCATTGTTTTGTCTGCTTAATTTTAAGCATTTAGCAGTGGTAGGACACACTTTTTTTAATTTATAAGTCAATTACTTAATTACAGCAAACGTATGTGTTTTAGCTCTTTTACTAGCCCCAGAATGGCTTTTTGATGAGACTTTTCTAAATTCTTTTTACTCTGAAGTCCTTGAAATTTTGTCTTGCTACAAAAGAAAAGCAGGAAAAACGTTGTTAAAAAAAGAAATTTTGTGTAGCATATAATAATTCAAAATGTATAGATTTACACAAAATTGATTGTATAAGAATTTTAAAGTTAATTCTTTACCTCAGAGTAAATGGTCGGTTGTCACGTTTATGAAATCTTTCAGGCTATAACAGGATATGATTTAATTGAAGAGAAGATGGTTGGGATGTTCAGTCAAATTGAAATAGCAAATAAAATATAAATAATAAATAAAGTCAGACCAAATTGTATTGTATATTTTTTGGTATGACATAACTTATTGTACATCAGCCCTGATGAAGCCTTGAACTTCGGGATGAAACGTCGTAGAATGTAAAAATGAATAACTTTGTTCTTTTTACCATTTCAATTTGACTGAACATTCCAACCATCCTCCTCCTCAATTATTCGCTACAGTCAACCATAAACCCACAATTAGGACATGATTTATTTTTCCCATGGAAATTGCTCATGATTTTCTCTTTACTTTGTAAGTACGAAATTTGGAATACAATGTACACATCTATGTTCTTTTAACATTGCAACATTATAAAAAATATTCTGTATTATTATACTTTGGTAAATATGATTTTTGCCCTATATTGTCTATAATAATATTAAAAACTTGTTTATTGCAAGAAAATGGGGTAGGCTAAGAGCACATTTTGATTTTATCATATATATTTTTAAAATGTAATTAAATAAATATGATACAAATAATATTCGTCTACAGTATGTTGTTTCACATTTTTTTTTTTTTTATAACTTGTAATAATTTTTTTTTGAATGGGTTGTTGAGTCATATTCATTATATTCTTTGTTATATTTGTCGTGTTTTTTAATAATTAGAGGTACCTTCTAATAACTGTTTATTAAAATTAAGTTTTTCTAGGAACACGTTATATTATTACCATTGTCGCCAACGAGGCAATTTGCATGAGTAATGCTTTATTATCTCAGTATAATTTATTAATCTCAAAAAATACTTTCATCATATTTCCCCGCCTACCTGTTCTACTTATTAATTTTTCCCGACAAAAAGAAGTCTCCTCAAAACGGGAAATATAATTGCGTTAAAATGCCATCCGGAGGAAAAGGCTTAAGCACACTGGCGCAGGTAGGAGGTATTAAAGAGAGAGCAATATCCCCTTTTATTATAACTCTCAAAAGGAGCCTCATTAGTGTAAATGAAAACATAAAAGGCTCGCCATTAATCCGATTATTTTTTTGTGGCTGCCAAATCCGTACGGGTTTAGGGGATGGAGGAAAGTCGTCGAAAGGGCGGAAAATCCCGTAAAGGGGGGTGGGTTGAGATTACGGTGAGGGATTTACATATGACAATGGCCGAGCACGTATGTTGCCGATAGCGTGTTTGGTTATTGTGTCCTGGCACGTAGGTCTCTCCTAATCACCGCTTTCAGTGTTCAGTGTACCTCGCTTCCTAGGGCTAGATAGTATCTGCATTCGTCATTCTACATGTCTATTATAACTCACTATATAGTTCTGAATTTACTAAAAGTTATTATAATAATAAAGCTATATTTAGAATGACTGTATTAAAATTTGTTTCTGTCGGCCAAATCTCAAAATATTCTGTCATTAGACCACCATTAGCAGGACTAGGGATGGGATATCGAAGGCACAATATCCACATTGTTATACCGATCTATAATCGGCAATACCGATCTATAACTGTAGATACCATCAAAATATCTGACCTTAAAATATTTATAGTCGATATTTTCTTCGATATTATCAACATGTTTTAAATATGAATATCAATATAAATATTGATTATCTACCACTTAGGCGCATTAAAAAAGATATATTGTTGATTTAATTAATTTTTTAAAAACTTGTTTATTAAAAACATTACAATCTGTCTCAAAGGACATTTATAATAGTGTTCTGAGATCACATTCACACTGTATGTACAATAAAAAATATATACAGAAAAATAATATATATATACAATAAATAAGAATAAAATAATCTAAAAATAAATAAATAAAAAAGAATACGTGCATACCTATATACCATATTTACTATCAGGCGAGAGAACCCCGATCCAGACTTGTCCCTCCAACTGTGGAGGGAAAAGCATGTTTCCAGGAGATCCCAGCACTTATCTCTCAACCGCGTCACTGAAGTTAAACCCAGTGTAGATTGAGCGACTGTGCTTTAGCCACAAACTTAAAAGTTGATTTAATTAAAATTTAAAAAATGAAAAACATATTATATTAAGTTGATAATTAAATATTATTTATTTAATGATTGATTATTCTTATCTCTTTAACGATTAATTGGAGAAAAAAAATTACAAAGTAAAATATGTTTTTTCTTATTTTTTAGAAAGAAAGCTATAGCCACCATAAAATAACTTTTTGGCTGACAAACAGAAATTCATTTTTTTTTTCTAGATAAATTTGCTGTGTGCTAACAACAAAGTTGCTCTAAACGAACAACAAGATGGCTCTTTATTGGCGCATTAGCAGATTTTTTGCTACATCTGGCGTTAATTCGTAAGAATCGGAACCCCTTATATTTTTCCGTTATAGGAACATTCCAAACTATTTTTATCCTGGATTCTAAAACTATATTTTTCTTTTCTTTAAATAATTTAAAACATATCTTGTTCGTAATAATACTTAACCAATTTATGATTAGGCCATCAAAATGAAGACTGTTCAGAATTTTTTTTTGTTTCTTGTATTTTTCTACTTACATTTCGGATATTATCCAATTAATGAGAGTATTTAGCCATCTCGGAAATCATTATGTTAAAAAAAAACAGACATATTTAACCCAAATTTAATTCCTGATTCCTATTTGGTATTTTCAACTTCAAATTGCATCTTCAAAGGATATTCGAACTATGCTTTCCATATACATATGTTTTAAATATTCTCAAGTTATTACAAACGAAGCATAAGCTGTCTGCTAGAATACTTCGTGTTCTATAAAATTAAATGCTAACTTCCTAAGAGTAGAAGTGAAGTGAAGAGAAGGCATTAACAA